TATATGAGTCAGGGGCAGACATGACCGCAGGTGAGCTGCGGCCGCCGACACGGTTGGTAGAGCCAAATCCTTCCATCATGCATGACAGAGTACGACAACCACGACTTTCATGAGGAACACGATACGGAAGGGAGAGTGAAGATCACAACAAAACGAGCTTGAAGCAAGATGGCTACGGCTCAACTCGGACTCATGAGTGCGCACTATCACTAACTCGTTATTAATTGCTTATATACTACGCCACTGGAAGCTCAAAGATTATCAAAACCAAACCGAATATCTGTCATCATCACTGGTTGGCCAACCGTTTCTGATCCAAAGGGCGGTTGCTAACTTCCAGATCCGACCGACCCGGGGATTTGGACACGCCCCCCTGAAGACTCTTCAGTGAAGAGGTCGTCGATTCTTCACCACTCCACACTTCGTCATCCAGGTGAAGCCACTCGAGAACGGATACGCCCGGATCAGCCTGATCCCAAACCACCAGAACCCTAGACTTCCCTTCAGCCGATCCACCGCGGTGATGAAGCACAGAACATCAGTGGAAGTGTTTATCGCCGTTCTCGTGGGTGAGTAGGAATCTCAATCTCCAACCAACAAAAGTGGGACCGTGCTCCAACTCGGCGTACACGTCCCCGCCTTGTCCACGAATATAAAGTGGCACTACGTTGGAGTGATTCACAGTGGTGATTCTTTCCCGATTCCCATTATCTGCATAGAGGATCTTATATCGCCGCGAGCTCAACCGTCTCGGTTGAGTGCCAAGTGCCATGAGTAAGGGGAATCGGGTCTCAGGAGTTCAGTTACTTAGTCTTGTTAGATATCCTGGCGGAGTTGACCAGGTTCGGAGATCGCGAGTTTTACGAGGACTGGTGGAATTCAGTCAATTTTAGAGAATATTGGCAGAAATGGAATCTTCCTGTACGTCCCAGGGTGGACTTGAACGGATAGCGGTGCCGTCCTACAGGTTCATTACTTCATCCTTCGTCACATGTGCATCCCTATGAGAAGGCAACTGGGT